GTTAACTTAGCATAACATTTTTCGTTTGTTTCTTTTTTCTAAAAAAAGAAAGATGCAAAACACGTTTTTAATATTGCGAACAAGCTATTATTTCGTTAATTACAAGAAACCATCAAACTAAACTTTGAATATATCGAACCTACCTATGCCGCTTCAGTAAATATTCCGTTAGCTTATAAGTATCAGGTTGAAAATTACAATGACTAAATGTGGAAATAAGCAATGTTCAGCCGTTTAAAGAAAATATTAAATTTTGTTTGTATTTTATAATATTACTTATCGTTAGAAAAAAATTATCGAAGACTTAATTTCCGGACTATAGTCAAGATTATCATCCGATCCCAACCTGGTACACATTTTCTGGGTGCCACAAAATCAAGTTAATTCAACCTAATCATTAAAAACTTAACGTTAATCAAGTACTTGATTATCCCGAGTCTAAATTTTGTAGATCATTTTTTGACATAAGGGTACCCGCTGCTACGTTCATTCAATATCACCAACCACATCGAAAGAATACAAATGCAAATCTGTTACTCCCGCATAATGAATGCTTACGATACAATGCTAACATCAATTGATTTACGTTTGGAATTATTTGGCAAATAAAACGGTGCTACTGCTAAATGCTCGTTTGAAAGATTTTCGGCATATGGGCAAATACGTAATCTGATTTTTTTTTACCCTACTTAAATGGAAGGTAAATATAGATCTCCTTACACAGAGATTTTTATTTCAATTTATGCAAAACAATCATTAAATTTGTCTTATTTTGGTCAGAAATGTTTACCTCTCACGCCAAAAAAAAAAAGGTATATCTATTTGTTTTTGTCTTATTTTGGTCAGAAATGTTTACCTCTCATGCCAAAAAAAAAAAGGTAGTACGTACATCTATTTTTTAAATTTTTTTTTATACACATAGTACAATAAAAACAAACTGATGGTTTAAATGACAAATATAAAAAAGGAAGTGAATGTCATCGAAATAAAATTTCAGGGTAAATAGGTTTTTGAAAATGTATTTCTTAAGATTTACTTATCCCGCAGTTTTGGTTAAGCGGATTTGTTAATTTGACGACTCAAGTCTTCCGAGACAACAACCAACAAATTGTGTATAAATAAATTGAACAAGTTCTTTCTCTGAAAACCTTTTTTTTTTAATCAATAATAATTATGGGTTGTAATTACGATTATTTCTCGAATCTTACTAAGATCACAATGAATATTTATTATGCTAAATGGAATCATAAGGTGGTTGCACTCAAAAAGATAAAGCAATCCAAGAGAAATTAGATGTTAAAAATAATAAAAATGTTGCAAGATACCCCACATCCTAATATTGTTAAATTTTATGACATAGTAAATGGTATGTAATGATATTTAGATCACCAAAAACCTATATTAATTAATTAATTAAAATAATCCACAATATTAATTAATAGATTCGGGTGGAGATATCGTTCTAGTAATGAAATTTACCGAAGGTGGAAATTTGCGACAGTATTTAAAGTTTAATTTAAACATTATTAGAAAATCAAAGATTGCGAAAGACATTGTGGAAGGCATAATAAAAACATTATTCATTGTGATATGGTAAGCTAATATACGACCGGGGTAAAATTGCCACCCAAAAAGTTTCGAACATCATGTAACAAAAATAGAGCACCAAAAATTCATGTAACTTGAACAAAAAATACAAGCGAAAAAAATTTATAAACTAACAAAATATAACGATAAGCAATTTATTTATTTCGAATAAACTCCAATAAACGTAATATTTGTTACAGCCAGAAAGT